ATGATCTGAGGATCTCAGATACAGTATCCCACTAAAACAATTTAAAAGCTACAGTTGAAACCAGAAGTTTACATACACTGTATAAAAAGACATATGACCTTTTTTTTCCCCACTGTCTGACATTAAATAAGACTAAATTTTTCCTGTTTTAGGTCAGTTAGCAGTGTTTCCTCTACATTAATTCAGGAGTGGTGGGCCGCCATTCCTAAATCCTAGCCACCGCTCCTTCAGATTTTTTCTCTCTTTTTTTTTTATTGTCGCAAATACACCACCACCGCATGTCTCCACCTTCACAGCACAGTCCTGCACTGCGTCGGGTACTCATGTGTACTAAGGTAAACTACAGATAACTATCTTGCTCAGTATCTACTCTTTGGGGGGTTAATGCAACCTTAATTAAAGGCAAGTACTCAGGTAAACTACAGATAACTATCTTGCTCAGCATCTACTCTTTAAGGGGTTTAATACAATGTTAATTACTCGCGAGAGCGTGACCTTGAAAGTGATGTCACGTCCAGCGCCATGCTCCATGTGAGGGCCGGGGGCTGGTGAGACGTTGTTTGCGTCACTCGTGCTGAAACGGCTAAGTTGCAAGGATGACAGAAAGAGTTGAAGAACTCCACAGTACTCCGATGTTAAAAGACATCAAACGAAAATGTATTTGGATTCCACAGGGCGATCTTGTTACAGGAGTGATCAAAAGTAAACAACAGCTAAACAACTACCAAAGTTGGCCAATACAGCTGCTTTGGGTTGGATTATTGTTTTTTGGAGAACAAAGACGCAATAACGTAAATCGGGATACCCACTTCTGATTGTCAAAATAAATAACTGCTAAACTTTGATTTTGTCGGAATTTCTTCTTATTTTGAACCTGTAACATTTGGCATTGTTTAGCAAAAGAAACTTGGGGAAGTGACCTTATTTTTTTGGTGAAATAATTAGTTTGGTCAGGACAGCAGGAGCGGCGGAGTGGGACCTGAGCCGGGCAGCAGTAACAGCGTGGCTCTGGAGGAGACCAACAGACAAGCCATGCCACAGCGGATAAGAGACTTGGAAAATGAACTGGCGGCTTTGAGAGCTGCACAAATTGACACGGACTCACAAAGGCCCTCCACCTCGTCAGGAGCAAAGGGTGGTGATGCACAAACTGTAAGACACACAGACACTGTGATTTACGTGCAACAGGACAGAAAAATACCAGTGTTTTCGGGCAAATTTCACGGTGCTGATGCGTTAACACTGGATGAATGGATTGAGAAAATGAGAGACTTTGCACAAACTAGAGGACGCACAGAAAAGGAACAGGTATGAAAACCAGTCCTAAATGCAACAACAGCTCAGTCTTAAATGAAATGTCTGTGTCCTGTGAAAGTG